GTCTGGCCTAAGCATGGAGTCACTTTAGCCTATTCAAGTCTTACACTTACAGTATTCCTGTTTGTTGTTTTTGTCTTTTTGAGGCAGGGATTCATGATGTAATCCAGGCTGGCCTTAAATTCACTATGTAGCTCCTAATGGCCTCAAACTCACAGCCATCTTCCTGCCTCAGCCTTCTGTGTGCTGGGATTACAGGCGTGTGGCACCACACCCAGGTCCTAGAGTTTTGAATAGCCAAAGATTATAAATGAAAAGTATTTCAAGTGGTTAAACATCCAAGTGTATGGTGGACCTCACTGTAGAGGTCCTTTTTGTTCTTTTTTGCAGTATTTGGGATTAACACAGGACTTTGACAATGAGCTACATACCAGGCTCCCTCCCTGCCAGGCCTGCCAACACATTTAAAATTTTGAGACGGGTCATTGCTTTCAGTATGGGCTCAAATTGATGAAATTCCTGCTTCACCCTCTCAGAATGCCCTGGGACCAGCACAGACTAGTTGTGATACGGAAAACTTTAATAGTGAAAACTTAGGAAATGTCACAATATAAAATAACTTCTGCCCCTCACTCTGCTTAGTTCAGAATTAACCTGTACGGGAGATACCTAGTCTTCCCCCAAAGTTTTATAAGTGTAAAAAACTATTGTTAGCTTTGATAACCAAACATGCTCCCTTCCCCCTGGCTAGAGTAGGTAACTGAATAAATCTTAAAGGTAACTTTCCCTAACACAGAACTCAACCGGGTTGAAATTCAACTGCCTTGCTACCATATTTTTGGTATTTGCAATGAGAGCTGTGAAAACGCAATGTAACCAACTGAATTAGATCAAGGCTGTAAAACCCTATAAAAGAAGGAGTTGTAACCCTATGGGGAGTCGATCAGGGCACCACTATTAGGTACGGAGTAAACTTTTTTATTTTACTTCCATTCTGCTGCCTCTCTGTGTGTCACTTGTCAATTCCTTCCGTAACAGTTGGGGCCCATGTTTTTTACTGTTGCTTATTTCTTGTGAGCCAGGGCCTGGCAAGCTTGGCTCTATTGCTGACCAGAAATTTAATGGAGAATTTCAAGCACTACCTGACAAGAAAGGTTCATGTTTGAGATACACTGTGCACTGTTTGATACTCTGGAAATAGGGAGTGAATATATATGCTTTTTGTGTTTTTGTACCAGGAATCAAACTTGAGACCTTGTGCTTGAGAGGCAGGTGGCAGAACCACTGAGTTAAATACCCGGCCCTATGCTTCTTCATATATATTATCAGAAAATATATAGGAAATGAGAAACCTTATTTATATGATAAAGTTGATTTACAGTTGGGTTGCAAAACTCTAACATTATCTTTGTGATGGCTGGGTATCTGGATTTGTCCCTGGTTGAGATGAGGGACACATATGAGGTACTGTTTAAAATTTGATAATGAGGGAGCCAGGGATTTAGCTCAGTGGTTCTGACGCCTGCCTTGCAAGCGCAAGGAACCGAGTTCCATCCCCAGTACCAAAAAATAAATTAATAAAATTTGATTATGCTCTGGAGACACCTCCACCCTAGGCAGTTTGTTTACTGGTGGTTCTCAATTCACAAGTTAGGGACCTGAGGCCTCCACCATCACAGGCTGTATTTTCCTGCTTCTACTTGGCTTCTAAAATGACCTCATGCTCTTATCTTTAGTTTCCCTCCCCCAAGGCAACCTGGCCCTTGATAGGTTAAAAGTAGCCCACTTCTCATAAATAAGCAATAGCCCAGCCCCAAAACAATAAAAGGACCCTCCTTTCTTTGTTCTTCTCTCTTCCCTCTCTCCTCTCTCCCTAACCTGCCTTCCTGAATAAAATCTGTCAGACTCTCAGTGTGTGGCCTAGTTGTTGAGCATTGTTGTGCCTCTACACATAACCAGTTAGATAATTCAGCTTGACTAATCAGCAGAGAACTTTTGCAGAGAGCTTCTGCCTTAATTAAGCACTCTCAAAGCCAACGTTCATGAGGACCTTAGTGGTTCAATCCAGAGATGGTGCAGTCTATTTGGGAATACAGATACGGAGGAGCTGGCACCTGGATTATTCTGACACCCCCATGCTTACCTACCTTTTGTTTTTAATGAGTCCCATCATTTGCTTTTAAATAAAAGCATGACATGAGTGTGCTCTGTGGGGTCCTTAGTCTTGTTGTTGTTGTTTTGAGACAGGGTCTCACTATGTAGTTGAGACTGACCTGGAACTCACTATGTAGCCCAGGCTGGTCTCAAACTCACAGCAATCCTCCTGACTCAGCCTCCCCAGTGCTGGTATTACAGGCATGCACCACCATACCTGGTGGGTCTTTAGGCTTTATAACTGATGGTTATCTTTTCACATGTCTTATGACCAGGCAGTGAGGTCTACAAAGAATGAATTGGCAAAGTGACTCCTATTCCATTGTATATATCAGGAGTAGAGTTGGATTCTAAAACTGTTTGCTCCACAGAGATACCCAAAATGAACATGGCAATAGATCAATTAGATGGAAAGTCATTTCATACATCAAATCATAAAATGAAAATCCCTAAAAATACAAAAAAAGTCTTTAAAAAAAAAAATCTTAATTTCGGGCCAGGGATTTAGCTCAGTGCTAGGCGCCTGCCTAGCAAGCACAAGGGCTGGGGATTTAGATCAGTGGTTCCACTGCCTGCCTTGCAAGCACAAGGACCCAAGTTCGATCCTCGGTACTATAAAATAAATTAATAAATTAATAAATAAATAAAAATAAAAAAAAACTCAATTTCTTCAAAAGAAATCTTGAAGCACGATTCTGGAATATAATTTAATGATGTTTAATGCCAAAATATAATTACTGGGCCAAAAATGCCTAGGGAAAAGCATATTACATGTAAACAAAAAATATACTAGACTTTTAAAGAAAGCATTCAGATGTGCCTCACAGAAGATGGTTGTACTTAACTCCACTGGATTCAATATCTTATTTCTTTTTGCAACTCAGTTCATGGGACTTTGCAAGAAAAGTCTCTGCACAGAATCCATTAATTTGTCTTTGATATTGGGGATTAAATCCAAGGCCTCCACACTGAGTTACATGCCCAATCTACTTTTTTTTTTAATTTTTTGAGACAGAGTGTCACTAAGTGGCTGAATTGTTCAGGCTGGGCTTGAATTTATGATCCTTCTGCTTCTCTGTACAGAATCTTTTGAAGACAGACTTACTTCTGCATTATTTAGAAAAGGTCTTTGGGAGCTATTTTCCAATTTTTTACAAAATTGGAAAGTATGCATTTGCACAGGCAAGTTCTTTTAATCAATCAAATTTAATAAGAATGTAACCATTCTTTATTTTTGGTATAAACCATTTGAAATTTTATAAGAAGTAAGGTATGGCTAAAGTCATTCTCCTACTCATTTGAAGAGTTCCTGTCCAATGTGAATTCCCTGATTTTGTGTAAGCTTTCCCATATTCAACAATTCTATATGACCAGGAAGGCAAAGGTCATGAATAAAGACTATGTTCCTTCTACCCATTCTCCAACCTCAATACTTTCACAGGAGTCTTCTCCAGTTAGAACTCTGTCGTTAACAAGAGAAATGCTGGATGCTTGCTTTTTTCTACTATAACTTTTGTTTAACTTAATAAGGTATTCATGGTGGCTAAAGGCAACTCCACATTTATTGTATTTGATAGCATAACAGGAAATATAAATTTATTCAATATAAGAATTGACTGCTTTGGGCCGGGATGTAGCTCAGTGGTACTGCACCTGCCTGGCAAGCACAAGTCCTGAGTTCAATCACCGGTACCAAAAATAAAAATAAAGAAAAGAATCAACTGTGTGAAATTATATATGCCCAAGTGATGCTCAGGATAGTACGTAAACAAATGTGTTGCATGAGTGAAATGGTTAAGATTTGGGCTGTGGCTAAAAGCCTTTCTATGTACATTACATTCACATTCACAGTTAGCCTAACAACACTGATAAAGTTTTCCTTTAGCATCAGTTCTGTGGTTTGAACCCCCACAATATTTATAGTAGTCATCTCTTTTCAGAATAAATTATTTTATTGTGTGAAAATCCTGAGTTATTTGGCAATATCTACCAAAGGGACTGAACATATGCACTGAGACCCAGGAATTCCACCACCTAAGTATATACACAAAACAGTGAATGTAAGTACACCAAAAGACAAATATGTTCTCAAAAGCATTATTTATTATGACCCTAAGCTGTAAACAATGTAAAAGTCCATCAATAGTAGAATGCATAAATTGTGATACACTGATATAATAGAATTCTATACAGAATTAAAATAAGCTTCTGCCACATGCATTGATCATGAGACTTATAGACATAATGAATGAGACAAGCTGGATATTAAACACTATACGATATATAATCCAATTTATAAAGGTTTTAAATGTGCAAAACATTTATAATGTTAGAAGTTAAAACTATGAGTAATTTTAAGGAGGTAACAACTGATTCCATACTTGCTGTGAGAAATACACGTTTACCTCCTTTCTTTTAAAGCACTTCTATTCACAGTATATCCTTGGACCACTGCCAGTCAGCCTACTGCTTATTATGGGTTCACAAAATGACAAATATTGAATTAAAAATAAATAAAGTTGAATGTACGTTTAAAGCACTTTAACAAAGTTTTAGTATCCCGAATCTAATAACAAAACCATTAGGATTGTTTTTCCTCAAAGAGTCTCATCATTTAATATATCCAGAAATGGGGTGTGTGTGTGTGTCATTTTGTTTTTATAGGACAGCAAACAGTAAATATGTAGTATAATATCTTCTCTCTCTCTCTTTTTGGTACCAGGGATCGAACTCGGATCCTTGTGTGTGCAAGGCAGGTGGTGGAACCACTGAGCTAAATCCCCGGCCCTGCAGTATATCTTTTTTTTTTTTTTTTGGTACGAGGGATTGGACTCAGGACCTTGTGCTTGCAAAGCAGGCTGCAGAACCAGTGAGCTAAATCCCCAGCCCTGTAAGTATAATATCTTAAACCGCTGAATATTATTATACTTGCAAGCAACACCAGCTATAGGTTTATTATGATCTTAAAAGTTTTACAAAAAGTTACATCACTTACAGAATTCTCGTGCATTCTACCTTGTGAATTTTCTGGTGGACAATGAGGTTTGACTTACAACTAAAGAATTTCCCACATTCTTTACATTCATATGGTTTCTCTCCTGTATGAGTTTTCTGATGACGGATGAGATTAGATTTCCTACTAAAGGCTTTCCCACACTGAGGACATCCATTGGATTTTTCTCCTGTATGTATTCTGTGATGAACAGTAAGGATTGCCTTCTGTCGGAAGGACTTCCCACATTCGTTACAAATATAGGGTTTTTCCCCTGTGTGAATTCTCTGATGGAGTGTGAGAGTTGTCTTTTGGCAGAAAGATTTCCCACATTCATTACAAATATAGGGTTTTTCTCCTGTATGGGTTCTCTGATGTACCGTGAGGGTTGTCTTCTGGATAAATGCCTTCCCACACTCATTACATTGATAGGGTTTCTCACCCGTGTGAGTTCTTTGATGATCAATGAGGTATGACTTCTTTCTAAAGGCACTTCCACACTGAGTACATTCATAGGCTTTCTCCCCTGTATGTGTCTTGTGATGTCTAGTGAGGGTTGCCTTCTGGCGGAAGGACTTCCCACAATCAAGACAAAGGTAGGGTTTCCCCTCTATATGTGTTTTTTCATGAAGAGTGAGGGCTGTCTTCTGACGGAAGGCTTTTCCACATTGATTGCAAACATAGGGTTTCTCACCTGTGTGAATTCGCTGATGTTCGATGAGGTATGATTTCCTTCTGAAGCTATTTCCACAGTAAGGACACTGAAAGGGTTTCTCTTCTGTTTGGGATCTCTGATGCATAATAAAAACAGATTCTGTGCAGAGGAATTTCCCATATTTGCTGTATGCAGAGGGCTTCTTTTCTATAAGATTATGGGGATGGACACCGAGCTCACACTTTTCCATGAAACCAATTCCATCCTTATTATATTCAAATGTCCTTTCTCCTTTCTGAGCTCTACTATGTGAAAATAACATTCTTTTCATAAGAAAGGATTTGTCACATTCATTACGTTCAAATGGTTGCTCTGGAATTTGAACTTTCTGCTGCTGAGTAAGCTCTTGTTTACCACTGAGATCCCTTTCTGTTTGTTTATGGAGATTAACTGAAGGATGAATTTTTTCATGCTTAGTATTGAGGATTGATTTCTCCCATCCATTACTCTCACCAACCTTTTCTTTTACAGGGTTCATATTTCTAATAACTAATTCTGAAATATTTTTCAAAACTTTTCCATCAGATTTATGTTCATATAATGTTTTTGAGATAATACGGTTCTTTCCTAAAGTAAGTGTTTTCCCATAAATGTTACTTCTCTCCTTAACTGGTTTTTTGTGATTGATGAATAAAACTGATCTAGAATGTATGTCTTGGTACTCTTTGAACTTCACTAAAACATCTTCAGACTTCCCATCTTCTAGAAAAGAATACAATTACAACACTATAAGTCTTCATATAAGTGAAGAGAAAATGTACAAAACATGAACACAAATCCCACTACACCATTAAAATGAAAATAGCACTAATAAAAACACTCGTATCTTTGGCATGCTGTAACTATAAGTTGTATGGAGAAGGTATAATAAACCCAAAGACAAAGAGACAAAAATGGTGAAAGAGGGGTTGTTCTTGGAAGGGAAGACTTGGAGACAATGAAGTGACCAGTAAGGGTGATAAACAATAAGCAATGTGACAAGGAAATTTATTTAGGCAGAAATGAGATCCCATACCTTTATCTTCTTATGCCTTATTAAGTGGCATAAGATGTTTCCACTCATTTTTATTCAGTTCCATTTAGATTTCCTTTGCCAATGTACTTTCTTGAATTCATTTCTTAGTGTTTATAGTAACACTGGTCTACAGTCTAGACCTTACCTGTCCATTCTGTTGAAAGTAGAGTAATAGAAAAACATACTCTAGATGTAGGGTATTTTGCCCCAGGAAAAGAAAGTGCTTAAGACAGTCCTTTTAGCAAATTATTGAACCTAAGGGTGGTGTTGGTCTCTAACTTATAGCTGATGTCAGAGTGATTTTGTGTGGACTATTGCATTCTCGACCTTCACAGTTGCTGAAGGCACAAGAATCTACAGGAAACATACAGTATCTGCTATGTAATGAAAGGTCACGCTCTAAGGAATAAAATACATTTTTTTGGTACTGAATATCAAACTCAGGACCTTACATTTGTGAGGCAGGCATAGTGCCACTGAGCTAAATCCCCAGCCCAGGAATAAATTTTATTCATATACATATATTCATATTTTTTTTTTCAGTGCTGAGGACTGGACTAAGGGTCATACGCAAGCTAAGTAAGTGTTCTACCACTGAACTACATCCCTAGCCCACATTAGGTATATTTAGAAGACTTGAGCAAATAGAGTTCTCAAGTCAAAGAGAGAGATACATTGGAATGACTAAAAGGGATATTACTCTGTCAGTTCTTGAAAAGGAAGGATTTAAATTTCATATAAAATTTTTTTAGCATATTGACAATATAAAATGAAAGAACTCAAGAAAAAAATCACAGCAAATCCAACAAGAAATAATAGCAGTTAATAATATAGCTCTTGTTTTGGAATAGGTTAGTGGCAAGTGAGAATAAAAGCACATGTAATGTTATCACAAAGTGAGAAAATATAATGCAAATTGTGGAGAGATCAGTAAAGTATAAAACAAATGATGGGCTGGGCGTGGTGGTGCACGCCTGTAATCCCAGCACTCGGGAGGTTGAGGCAGGAGGATCGCTGTGAGTTCAAGACCAGCCTGGGCTACATAGTGAATTCCAGGTCAGTCTCAACTACATAGTGAGACCCTGTCTCAAAAAACCAAAAAAACAAAAAACATATATATGAAAACAATTTTCCTGGGTTTTCTAATTATTTCCATAGAAGTATAATTTTAGACTCTGTTCTTTCCTCAAAGCTGGAAAGATAAATCTTGAATTATTAATAATTTTGGGGATCCAGATAGCTTAATGATAATTTTGATCAAACATTTAAGTATACCAATTTTATACAACTTATGTAAGAAAATGTTTGAGGGCCAGGAATGTAGCTCAGTGGTGCTGTGCCTGCCTGGCAAGTACAACGTCCTGAGTTCAATCCCCAGAAACAAAAGAAAAGAAAATTTTTGATGAGGAAGTATTCCCAGTTTGCTTGATGTGGTCAATACAACTAAAACTTTACAAGGATATTAAAAGAAAACTACAGAGCTCTATCCTTTGTAAAAGCATGTTTAAAAGCTTACTAAATTATTATCAAACTTACTTCAGCAATCTATTACAAGAATAATGTCTTTTTCAAGTGGACTTGAAACCAAGAGTCCAAGGTTTGTCCAATATTTACATTTATCAATGTAATACAATGTGGTAACATCTAAAGAAGAAAAAGAATAATGATCATCTCAGGAGATGCAGAAAAGGCATTTGTTACCCTAACTCCAAAACCAGAGGAGGACACAACAAAAAAGAGAATTATATACCTAATCTCCCTGATAAATATAGATGCAAAAATCCTCAATAAGATGCTGGCAAACAGAATGAAGCAAATCATTAAGAGGATTTTACACCATAACCAAGGTAGGATTCATCCCAGGGATTCAGGGATGGTTTGACATATGCAAATTAATAAGTGTAATACACCATATTAACAGAGCCAATAACAAAAAACATATGATTTATCTCAACAGATGAGGAAAAAGCATTTGACAAAGTCTAACACCCACTGGTGATAAAAAAAAAAAACCTACAAAAATTGGAATAGATGGTTCTTTATGTCAATCTGATAAAAGCCATCTATGACAAATAGCCAACATCATACTAAATAGAGAAAAACTGAAAGCTTTTACTCTAAAATCAGAATCAAGACAAGGATGTCCACTGTCACCTCTCTTACTCAGCATAGTTCTGGAAACATTAGAGCAACTAGACAAGAGAAAGAAATAAAAGAAATAAGGATAAGAAAGGACGAAGTTCATCATTATTTGTAGATGATATAATACTCTACATAGAAGACCCCAAAAATTCCATGAAAGACTTCTAGATTTAATAACAAAATTCAGTCGTATAGCTAGATACAAAGCCAATACTCAAAAATCCATACCTTCCTGTACATGAATAACAAACTCACTGGAAAATTAGGGAAACAATACCTTTCACAATTGCATCCAAAAAAATGAAAAACCTAACAAATCAATCTAATAAAGGAAGCAAAAGACCTCTACAATGAAAATTACCATACTCTGAAAGAGATCAAAGAGCTATCAGAAAATGGAAAGATATTATTCTCGCATAGGAAAAACCAATATAGTAAAAATGGCCATACTTCCAAAATTGTTATACAGATTTACTGCAATCTCAATAAAAATTCCAACAGCATATCTCACAGAATCAGAGAAAACAATCCTAAAATTCATTTGGAATCAGAAGAGACGAAGAATAGCAGAGGCAATTCTGGACAACAAAGGCAAAGTATGGAGCATCACAATCCTGGCATCAAATTATACTACAAAGCTACTGTGATAAAAACAGCACGGTAATGGCAGAAAAACAAACCTGACAATGGAACAGATCAGAAGATGCGGAAACAACTCCAGACATACTCAGCCACCTTATATTTGACAAAGGAGCCAAACACTGGTACTGGAAAAACTGGCTTTCCATATGCCAAAGATTAAAACTAGACCCATATCCTTTACATGCCCTAAACTAAAACAAAAATGGATCAAAGATCTAAATATTGAAACAGCAACACTTAATCTACTGGAAGACAGAACAGGTAGAACTCTTGAAGACAGTGGTGTAGGCAAAGACCTTATGAACAAAACCCCTATCACACAGGAATTATTACAAAGAATCAATGACTAGAATCTCATCTTATTAAAAGGCTTTGGGGGGGGCCGGGGATTTAGCTCAGTGGTACTCCAACTGCCTTGCAAGTGCAAGGTCCTGAGTTTGATCCCCAGTACTGAGAAAAATTTAAAAATCATTGCATAGTAAGAGAAACTACCAACAGAGTGAAGAGACAACCCATACTGTGGGAAAAAAATTTTGCCAGCTATTCCTCAAAGAACTATTATGTAGAATATATAAAGAACTAAAAAAAAACTAGATCCCCCAAATTTAAAGACCCACTCCAAAAATGAGCATCTGAAATGGATATTTCTCAGATGAAGAAATAGAAAAAAAGCAAATAAATTATTAAAAAATGTTCAACATCACTGGTCATTCTAGAGATGCAAATTAAAATGACATTGAGATTGCATCTCACTCAAGAAATTATCCAATAACAAATGCTGGCAGGGCTGTGGGGGAAAAAAGGAATCTTTATTGTTGGTGGGAGTACAACCACTGTGGAAATTAGTGTGGCGATTCCTTAGAAAACTAGAGGTTTGACCCAGCTGTTCCCCTTTTATGGTATCTTCCCAAAAGAACTAAAAGCATATCACAGTGATATATGCACACCCATGTTGATAGCAGCACAGTTTGTAATAGGTAAATCTTGGAAACAGCCCAAATGTCCATCAACTGATAAATGAAGAAGATATGGTTGTTTTTTTAATACAATGGAGTACTACTCTGCCACAAACAAGGATAAGCTTGAGACATTTCTAGCTAAATGGATGGATCTTGAGACCATACTGTTAAGTGAAATATATCAGACACACATGTTTAAATACTGCTCTATTTCTTAGGTGTGAAAAACTGAAATTAGAAATAAGGACCAAAATATATAATAGATATTGGGAAATGGGAAGAAAATGTTCAAATGAGAAAGAGAACAAGGGAGGGCTAGGGGAAAAGAAAGAAGGGACAAGAAAAAAAGACAGACTAAAAAGAAAAAATGGAAACAAGGCTTTTGTAAATAAGGAGGGGAAGGAATGGGAAAAAAAGGATGATACAGGTATAAATTCCCTATGATGAATGTTATCATTATGCATATATAAAATGTACCAATAACTATTTTGCAAAAAAAGTGTAAACAGTTAAAAAAAAAAAAAGGAAAAGCCATTTGTTAAAATTGGTATCCATGTACTACTAAAACTATCAGAAAACTATGTAGAGAACTTCCAAGACCCCAAGTGGATGTCTGAAATTGAGTACTAGTGAACCTTACTATCTCAATTCCTACACATACCTATGACAAAGTTTAATTTATATGTCAGGTACAATATAATATAAATACCAATTCATAACAAAACCAAAGAATTATAAGAATATAATGCATCTAAAAATTATATGAATATAGTCCCTCTCTCAAATATTTTATTGTATTATACTGTATACTTACCTTTCCTCTTGTCATATGACATAATACAATGACTATGATAAATGACAGAGGCATTGTGAAGACAAAGGCATTAGGTAGTAGTTATGCTACTACCTAAGGGATATTTGAACACAAGCACTCAATATTGATACTTCCGCAGTTAATCTGATAACCCAGACAGCTACTAAGTGACTGACTGGTGGGCATCCTACTGTATGGATTGATGAACAAATGGATGACAAAGTGGGACATTTTAAGATTTCATCAATCTACTCAGAACAACATCCCTTTGAAAAGTTATGAATTATTTATTTCTGGAACTTTATATTTAATATGTTTACGACTGTGGATAAACATGAGTAACTCAAACAGTGAAAGTGAAACCCTGGTTAAGGATGGCTACTATACTAAACAATAATGACAACAAGAACACACAACCACAAATAAGGAAAGGCAATATCTGAATACTAATTGTGGCTACACAGATTAGCAACAAACTAGAAAAAGACAAAATTTAAATCCTACTATTGGGCTGGGTTCAATTATCAGCATGTGCATGTGTGCAAAAATGCACACACACAAAGCTACAACTTACAATAGTATAAAAATAATCAATCTTAGAGATAAATATAATTAACAAGGTATAAGACCTCTAAACTAAAAATAATAAAATACTACTTAAAGGAATTAGGGAAGCAAACCAAAATGGAAAGCTTTATATACCAGAAGGCTCAATAATGATAATATATCAGTTCTCACAAATAAAAACTCTAGATCATTTGTTTAAAGAAGGCAAGAACTTGATTCTAAAAAGTATTTGAAAGGGCCAGGGATTTAGCTCAGTGGTTCTGATGCCTGCTTCGCAAGCACAAGGTCCTGAGTTCAATCCCCGGTACCCTAAATAAAAATAAAAATAAAAATAAAAAATAGTGCCAGGGATTTAGCTCAGTGGTGCCACTGCCTGCCTCACACGTGCAAGGACCTGAGTTCAATCCCCGGTACCAAAAAAAAAAAAAAAAAAAAAAAAAAAAAATTAAAAA